CTGCCCACAAAAAGACACAACTAAAATATAAAGATTTAGAATATTGAAAGTGTGGGCTGGCCAATTGGCTAGAGTACAGCCTTGAAACATGAAGGTCAAGGGTTCAGATCCCCATACTGGCTAGCTGGCAAAAAAAAAAAAAAAGAATATTGAAAGTAAAATAATGGGAAAGATATACCATGCAAACAATAACCAAAATTAGTTGGTGTGGCTACATTAATATCAGAGATTTGGGACATTAAAGCAAAGAGAATTACTAGAGGGAAAGAGAGACACTTCGAAGGCTCAATTCACAAGAAAGATATAACAATCCTAAATTGGCATTCATTTAAAAAACACGGTCTCAAATTTATTTATTTTTTATTGGAATGTATTGATTATACAATTTGTGAGGTACCAGAACTGAATATCAATACATGTCTATGATGTGTGATGATCAAATCAGAGTAATCATCATATTCATCATTACAAAACTTAATCATTTCTTTGTGATGAGGACATTCGATTTCCTCTCCTCCAGCCACTCAACAACACACAGTAAATATTTGTTTATTATAGATGCCCAGGTTGACCATACACCCATAGAACTTATTTTTCCTATCCAGTTGTTCTGCATCCATTAACTGACCTCGCACTATCGACCTCTCCCCTGTTCCTGCCTCTAGGAACCACAGTCAAATATACTTAAACTAACAGAAAAATAGATCTCCAATTATAGTGAGAGATTTTAATACATGTCTCTCAGTAATTGATAGTACAACTAGGCAAAAATAATCAGTAAAGATACAGAAGATTTGATCAACATAATTGACAAGCTTGACCTAGTTGACATCTATACAATGCTATGCTCAATAACTAAGGAATACATATTCTTTTCAAGTATAGACAAAATTTACAAAAATAGACAACAGAGGATTGAAATCACTGTGAAATTAAGGTAAGGATTGATGATAAAAAGATAACTTGGTAATTCCCAAGTGTTTGGAAATTTAAAAGTACAATTCTGAATAACTGGAAGAATCAAAATAGAAATTTAAAAATACTTTAAATTTAATGATAAAAATATGACATAACATATCAAAGCTTGTAAACTGTAACTAAAACCATGCTTAGATAAAAATTTATAGCTATAAATGCAAATATCAGAAAAGGCTGAAAAATCACTAAATTTAGCATTCATTTCAAAAAGCTAGAAAAATAACAGCAGATACAATTCAAAGAAAATATAAGAAGTAATAAACAGCAGAAAATAATGAAATAGGGGCCGACCCCGTGGCTCAGTCGGAAGAGTGCGGCGCTCCCGCTGCAGGTTCGTATCCTATATAGAGATGGCCAGTGCGCTCACTGGCTGAGCACGGTGTGAGCCACACCAAGCCAAGGGTTACGATCCCCTTACCGGTCACAAAAAAAAAAAAAAAAAAAAAAAAAAAGAAAATAATGAAATAGGAAATGAATGAGCAATAAAGAACAACAAAACCAAAAATTGGTCCTTTGAAAAGACTAATAAAAGTGAAAAACCCAATGAGATTGGTTAAGAAAAATAAAGAAGACACAAATAACCAATGTCAGAAATGAAATAAAAAGAAATATTAAATATTCTAAGACTAGAAAAATCATAAGAGGATATTAAGAACAACTTTAAGCTAATAAATTCGAAAATTTAGATAAAATGGACAACTTTCTGGAAAAATACTTTATCAAAGCTAGCACAAGAATAAATACAACATAGCAACAGACCTAAAACTATAAATTGAATTTGTAATTTAAAATTTTTCCACAAAGGTAACTTCCGGCACAGATGGCTTCGCTGGCAAATCCCTACATTTAAAGAAGTAACACTCGATGTAAAAAAAAAAAAGAATCCAGAAAATAAACCGACAAAGAACATTTCCCAACTTGAGAAGGCCAGCTAAATTTGACACCAGCTAATTCTGACAGATGGTATGAGAAAGTAAATTACATGTTCTGCATAAACATAGGTACAAAAATGTTAAATATCTGCAAACTAAATTCAGTGATATTTAAAAAGGATAAGACCTCACAACCAAAATGTGTGTATTCTAGAAATGCTAAGATTTAACATTTAAACAAAAAAATCAGAACAGCAGAATATCTCAATTAAAGCAAAAAACTTTCATAAATTTTTGTGGGGGGAGGTGTGGCGGGGAGGTGGCTGGTAAGGGGATCAAACCCTGGGCCTTGGTGTTATCAGCACAATGATCTAACCAACTGAGCTAACCAGTCAGTCCCTTCTCATAAAATTTAACCTCCATTCTTGAATTTAAAAATATACATATATATATATATTTTTTTAGCTCAATAGGAATAGAACGGAACTTCCTTAATCAGACAAAGGATTTCTACCAAAAAACCCCCAATAGCAAACCTCATACTATTCATACTTAATGATGAAAAATATTGAGCCTTTTCTCTCTGAGATTGAGAATGAGAGAGTGGTTCGCTTTTATTCACCATTACTGAAGGCTCTAGCCCATGCAAAAGACAAGAAAAAGATATAAAATTTATAATTTTGGAAAGGGAAAAAAATAAAATGCATTATTTGACGATGACATGATTGTTTATATAGAAAATCCAAAAGAATCTACATACAAATTATTAGAATTAATAAATGAGAATTGCAAAGTTTCTAGGAGCAAAGCCAATACATACCAATTGACTGTCTTTCTATATACTAGCATCAAAAATTAGAAAATAAAAGTTTTATAACTATTATTTATAGAAGCATCAAAAAACAAGGTATAAATCTCACAAGAGATGTACAAGACCTCTATACAGAAAGCTATAAAGCATTGTTGAGAGAAAATATAGAAGAACTAAATAATGTTGCAAATTGAGTTTTCCAGAAGACATTGATGTGAAGTTTGGGTGCCACAGGTTTATTAGGAATCAACACCTATGAAAGGAAGGGGAAGAACAAAGAACTGGGTAGAGGACGAATTTAAACTGCAACACAAGCCTCACAAAGTCTGGGCCACACATGCAGGGAGCTCTTTAAGTGAATATTGCTCAATAGAGTTATTCAACATCACAATGGCCTTATTATCCATCTCCCCACCCACCACACTCTGCTGGGTCACTGGATGTGGGCTTCCCTGGAAAGGGTTGAGACCCTAGAGTGAGGCAGTTCTCTGCAGTGAAGGTAGAAAAATGAAGATCATCATAGCTGGAGACTGCCTTGTACGATTTCACTTATGTGAGGTAATTAGAGTAGTCAGATTCATAGAGACAGAAAGTAGAATGGTGGTTGCCAGGGGCTGGGTGGAGGGGGCTTTATTAGTCCATTTTGTGTTGCTATAACAGAAATACCTGAGACTGGGTAATTTATAAAGAACAGAGGTTTATTTGGCTTATGATTCTGGGACAGCTGCATCTGGCACAGGCCTCAGGCTTCTTCTGTTTATGGTGGAAAGTGGCAGGCAGCCAGCCGCAGGAACAAACAGATCACATGGTGAGAGGAAGCAAGAGAGAAGGTGCCAGGGTCCTATAAACAACCAGCTCTCATGGGAACTAATAGAGTGAAAACTCACCCAGGACCCCCACACCCCAGAGACAGCATTAGTCCATTCATGAGGGATCTGCTTCCATGACTCAAACAGCTTCCAGCACTGCCACATTGAGGGTCAGATTTCCACATGAGTTTTGGTGGGGACAACACATTCAAACTGTATCAGGGGGAATGGGGAGTTATTGTTTAATGGGTAGAGTTTCAGTTTTACAAGGTGAAAAAATTTATGGATATAGATGGTGGTGATTGTTGCACATTATGAATGTATTTAATACCACTGAACTGTACACTTAAAAATAGTTAAGATGGTGGGCCGGCCCAGTGGCGCACTGGAGAGTGCGCCGCTTGGGAGTGCGGCAGCGCTCCCGCCAAGGGTTCGGATCCCATGTGGAGACCGGTTCCCGCTCACTGGCTGAGTGCGGTGCGGGCGCGACACCGAGGGTTGCGATCCTGTTGCCAGTCCCCGGTGCGGGCGCGACACCGAGGGTTGCGATCCGTTACCGGTCAGTAAAAAAAGACAAAAAGGAAAAAAAAAATAGTTAAGATGGTAAAGTTTATATTATGTGTGTTTTACCACAATAAAATTAATTAGAAAAAATGAATTAGTTAAAAAACATATATAAAGAACTGCTAAAAACCAATAGGAATAGGGTAGATACACACACATACACACGTGCACAAAACTCGAACACGCACTTCACAAAAGGTGCTCAATCTCATCAGCATTGGGGAAATGTAAATTTAAAAACTGACAGTATTAAGTGTTGGTAAAGATGTAGAGCAGCAAGAATTCCCAAAGATTGTTGGTGAAAATATAAATCAGTACAATAACTTTGGAAAACAGTTTGGCATTATCTCCTAGAGTTGAAGATAAACATAGCTTATTATTCAGCAATTCCTTTTCTAGGTGCAGTAGAAACCAAAAGAAGTATGTGCACATGTGCACTAGGAGACATGAATAACAACATACCTAGAAGCAGTTATAATATCCTCAAGCTGGAAACAATCCAAAGACAAATCAACTGTAGAGTGAATAAATAGCAATATATTCATAAAATGGAATACTATCTGTTAATTAAAAAGAATGAAATCTAGCTACATTAATGTAATGTTGAATGAACAAATCTATATTCAAAGCATATTATAAGATTCTATAATAGAGAACAAAACTACAATGTTAGAATTCAAAATAGTGGTTACCTTTTGGAAGAAGAGAGTTGGCAGTGATTTGCAGGGCCCCTGAAGGGGTTACTTGAGTATGAAAACATTGATCTGGGTGATAGTTACACAAGTGTTCACTTTGTGATGATTCATTGAGCCATATATTTATGTTTTTTAAACTTTTGACATGTGTGTAATACTTCAATAAAAAAATTTCAAAAAATAAAAAAGTATGAGCACACCAAATTGATAAAATAGCCACATATTTTTAATGAAAAAAATAAGATGCTATATCAATAAATAATGTCCTTACCTCTTTAGGATTAATATATTTCACTATCTGATATGGCTCCCCTTGTCTTCTTAAATTAATCAGGCTTTTAAAGTGTTGGAATACAGCGACATCCTGAAGGTTTCAAACACACATGATTTTATAGTCAAAACTAGATTTTCCAATTCTAATTAGTTTTTTGCCTAATTAGGGCAAAAACAAGTAAAAATCATAAAATAGATTTTATGTATGTACCCTAGATTTTAGAAATATTATTCACTCAGGGTTTGCTTTGACAAGCTAGGTAATATTGGTATTATTCTCACAAAGAATTTTACCCTTAAATTTGTAATTGCAATCACTATCAACTATAAATAAAATATCTAAAACTTTGGTTGAGTCAGTATACTCTCCAGAGTAATCTATGAGAAAAACCAATTACAGCCTACTGGTTAAGAACACTGAGTATAGCATAATATTGTCTGAGCTCAACAGTTAGTACCTACTAGCTGTGTGACCCTGGACAAGTTGCTTAACCTCTCTATACTCAGTTTCTTCATCTATAAAATAAGAATGATAGGAATTTTCTCATACAGCTATGCTGAGGAATAAATGAATTAATATTTGTAAATCACTTAGAACGGTTTCTGGCATAAGAAAGCACTCAATAAATGTAAACAGTTATTAGGATTACAGAAGCATCCTCACTCCAGTAGTAGTTCCACTAATTTACAAACTTTATCCACTTTCCATGTTAGTGCAAATTTTGTCAAGTAACCCCAAACAATTCTTCTATCTTGGAAAACTATTTCTTTGGTAACCCTCTCCTCATACACTACCCCCCCCCCCCGAAAGTCCCTTAATAACTATTGGTAAACACCTCCCACCCCTTTGCTTATGTTAAATAAGATAAAATAAGTTCAAATTGAAGTAACCCAAAGTAACAATGTAAGTTTGAAGCCCCACTGCAATTGCGTATGAAAGATGGTGCAACCCATGTCAACACAAATAGTATGAAAAATTTATTATGATTTAAAATCTGAATAGTATCTTCTAAATAAGTAGATTACTATCTACAGATGCATAACAAACCACCCCAAAACTTAAGTGTCTTAGAGCAACAACCATTTATTATTTCTCTCTTTCTGTGAATTGATGGGGGAGTCCTGCTGGTCTTGATTGGACTCGCATTTGTAGCTGTAGTCAGCTGTCAGATCAGCTGGAGCTGGGCGATTTAATATGGCCTCACACATATATATCTGAGTATTCAGTTTGGATTGTTGGAACATCGGAGTGGCTGTGCCACTGTCTCCACACAGACTCTCAGTTTGAGCTTCTTCACAGCATGGAGGTTTCAAAGTACCAAAGAGAGAAAGTGGAAGTTCCAACACCTCTTAAGGCCTTGTTTTGGAAGTCACACAGCAACACTTATTCTGCATTCTATTTATCAAACTCAAGTCCTAGCAGGCCTCACGAGGTCAAGTACAAAGTGTAACCCATAGCAAGTTCCATATGTACTATGGTCTCACTCAGAGGTGGCCCTGAAGTACAACAGTGAAGGGTAATCCTTCCAGGGGCAGAACCTCAAATAGCATACCCGGTTGTGTATTGTGCCTAGAAAGAAAGACAGCCAGAATTACAGATTTACAGATGGGTAGGGACTGATGGTTTAAAAACGTGGTTAGAAAACTGGTGACAAGGTCTGAGGAAGAGGTAAAACTGAGCCCCTGATATGGCATCATTCCTTAGGGGAACTAGCCAGCTACCTTGTGACATGTTGATTATTTGGAACACTTCATTATGGAAAGGGTAACATTTTGTTCTCACTGGAATTGACACTTTACTCTTCCATGTACACAGTGCTTCTACAAAAACCACCATCTGTGTACTTTCAAAATGCTTACTCACTGTCACAGTATCCCATATTAACATTGCTCCTGATCAGAGAACTTGGTTCACAGCAAACGCTACACACCAGTGGGCCCATGCTCATTGAACGTACTGATCTTACCTTGTTTCCAATCACCCTGAAGCAACTGGCCTAATAGAACAGTGAAATGTCATTTTGGAGTCTCAGTTACAGTTAGACTTCCAGTGATAAATCTTTTCAGACTAGAGTGATGTCCTCCATATTGTAGTAAATGCTCTGAATCAACAGCCAATATATGGTGCTATTTCTCACATAGCTAGCATTCATGAGTCTGGGAATCAAGGGGTGGAAATGGAAGTGTCTCCTTCTAAGTATCACCTTTAATTATCCACATTAAATGATTCCAAAGAAAATTCTGCTGCCTGACCTTGTACCTTTGGGCTCTGCAGGTATAAAGGCCTTATTTCCCATGGTAGGAATGCTTCCACCAAGGTACACAACAATGGTTCCATTAAAATGGAAGCTTATACTGCCACCTGGCCATTTTGTGCTTTTCATGCCAGTGAACCAACATGCAAAAAACAAACCAAAAAATCAAAAAACAAAGGCAATTTCTGTACTGGCTAGGGTGATTAATCCTGACTATTAAGGAGAAAATGGGTTGTTACTACCAATGGGGATAGGGAAAAAAGTGTCTGGAATTCAGGAGATCTTTTGGGGTGACTCTTAGTAATCCCATGTTCTATAAGAAAAGTTAATGAAAAATTATAACAACCCACTATAGGCAGAATTGATAAAGGCCTAGACCCTTCAGAAATGAAGGTTTGGGGCCAGTCCGTGGCTCACTTGGGAGAGAGTGGTGCTGATAACACCAAGGCCAAGAATTCAAATCCCTATGTAGGGATGGCTGGTTAGCTCACTTTGGAGAGCATAGTGCTGACACCACCAAGTCAAGGGTTGAGTTCTCCTTACCGGTCATCTTTAAAAAAAAAAAAAGAAAGAAAAGAAAACAGAAATGAAGGTTTGGGTCACCACCCCCACACCCAGGCAAGGAACCACAACTAGGTGAGGTGTTTGCTGGAAAAAAAAAAATATGGATTGGCTAGTGGAGGAACAAAGTTCGAAATACCCATACCAGCTACAACCCCATAATTAGTTGCAGAAACAAGTAGTATTTTTGAATATTTATCCTACATATCTATATACAATTAACCAATTCTTTTTCTTTCTTTTCTCCCTAAATGTAGTTAATATGTATGTTAATATATGTGTTACTGTGTTGATAATGGTGTGGGAGGCAGAATAATGGTCTCCCCAAAAATGTTCACACCTAATCCCTGTAATCTGTAAATATGCTATGTTACATGGAAAGGAGGAATTAAGATTGCAGATAGGACTAAGGTTGCTAATCAGCTGACTTTGACATAGGGAGATTATCCTGATGGGACCAAGGTAATCACAAGGGTCCATATAAAAGGGAGGTAGTGGCAGAGTGATGGGATGTGAGAAAGACTTGACAGGTCATTGCCAGCTTTGAAGATAGAAAGGGGCCATGATATGGGCAACTTGGAGAAGTGGGAAAAGGTCCAAAAACAAATTCTTCCCTAGAACCTGCAGAAAGAACACAGCCATGCTGACACCTTGATTTTAGCCCAAAGAAACCCATTTTAGACTTCTGATCTCCAGAACCATAAGATAATAAATTTTTGTTGTTCAAAGCACCAAGTTTGTGGCAATTTTACAAGTGCTTAACATTATATCTAGTATATAAGTTGCAAGATGTCAAAGGTAGAGAATGGCTCACCAATAAGAAGAATAAAAATGACTGGAAGATGGATAAAGTTACTTCTGGGAAAGGAGTACATATATTTTGGCCTATATGAGGAATAACTGTATCATGTTTGGTGGGAGCCTGATTTTAATACTGACTTTATTTGGAAGTTAAATATGGTTAAAGGAGGTGTGTATGGATTCCAAGGTGACAGTGGGTGAACTCTGCTGGATTATTCTACTGTCAGTTTGATCAAGCAGGACAAATACAAAGAAAATGATATGTAGGCATATTATAGTCAAACCGCTGAAAACCAAAGACAAAAGGTAATTTAAAAGCAGCCAGAGAATTAAAAATACATTACTTTCAGGGGAGAAAGAGTAAAACTTATTCCTGACTTTTATTAGAAACTATGGAAGCCAGAATAGAATGGAATGCCATCTTTAAGGTACTGCAGGGAAGAAAACCCAACAACATGCCAGCCTATCTTTCTATGAAAGATGATAATATTCTTTGAAAATAAGAGTGAAATAAAAATGTAATTTTTCATAGAAGGCCTGTCCTTTAAGAAATACACTAAGGAATACTCTAGGGAATTCTTGAATTGGCAGGAAATTAATACCACAGGGAAGCACAGAACTGCAGCAAAGAAGGAAGAGTCCTGGAAAGGGTAAATATCTGGATAAATAAAAGTGAATACTAAAATTAAAGAAGACATAAATAAATGAAAATACATCATGGTTCAGAAAGCTTAATATTGTTGGAGTGACAATATTACCCAAAGTAGATTCAATGCAATACTAAAGATTAAATGCAATCCCTATCCAAAATCCCAATAGCATTTTTGGCATAAATAAAATTCCATTCTAAAATTCATGTGGAATTTCAAGAATTCCTGAATAGTCAGAACATTTTTGAAAAAGAATTTAAAAAGTAAAAAAGTATGAGTTGGAAGAGTCACTTCCTGATTTTAAAACTTACTACAAAGCTACAATAATCAAAACAGTTTTGTATCATAATAAGGACAGACATATAGATCAATGAAATAGAACAGAGCGCCCCAAAATAAATTCTTACATATATAACCAGTTGAGTTTCAAAGAAGGTACTAAAACCATTCAATGGGGGGGAGGGGAGGAAGAGCAGTATTTTCAATTAATCGTGCTGTGAAAACTATATATCCACACACAAAAGACTGAAATTAGGCCATTAACTCCCATAGTATACAAACATTAATTCAAACTGGATCAAAGACCTAAACATAAGAGTTAAAATCATAAAACTTGGGCCGGCCCGTGGCTCACTCGGGAGAGTGCGGTGCTGATAACACCAAGGCCCCGGGTTCGGATCCCACATAGGGATGGCCGGTTCGCTCACTGGCTGAGCGTGGTGCTGACAACACCAAGTCAAGGGTTAAGATCCCCTTACTGGTCATCTTTAAAAAAAAAAAAAAAAATAATAAAACTCTTAGAAGAAAATATAAGGGAAAAGCTC